TACCAAATTCAAGATTACCGACAGCCGGATTGACTACTCACTCGTCTGTAGGTAGCTTCACCAGCCATGCTGCTCAGCTGAATCTTCTAGGCCAGGGGTTCACGACCTGAGGCCACATTCACTCTTTATCACGTTGCAAGGCGCCGAGCATAAAACGACAAATTACTGAGACGTGTCAGCTCATTAGAAATACTTACATCTTTCTATCGCAAACAAATTTATATACGAAGATTCCTGAATCGACCTGATGGCGGAGGCAGTATGACCTCAGAAACGTTGGTAAACATCGACCAGAAGACAGAAATCTTCATATTCACCGCTGTGAAAACCTCAAATTTTACAAACTTATATACACTATTTCTCAGTAATTTCGATGTAGAAATTTGTTGACATTTTGTTAATTATTCACTTAAATTCAACATTTAATAGCGTTTTAACTGTAGATGGAGAGAACAGATTTCTTCGAAATGTTGCCTACCACGTATACGACTTCACAACGCAACAGTCCAAAAGACTACAATTTACATGTATTCCAAACTCTATCAACATTTATCGGGAATCATGAACATGATAAGGTGATGGCAACTTCTGAACACAGGAAGGCGCTAACATTACCTGGTCCAAATACATTTTTGTTACTTTTCTCTAAAACGTAATATAGCTCCATATGGTACGCAGGAAAACTCTAAAGAAATGCAAAAGATATTTTGGTCTGAAAACGTGAAGGAAAGAGAACATTTGGAAGATCTAAGCGTAGATGGAAGGATCATATTCAATTTTGTTTTAAAAATATAAGGTAGGAGGGTGCTGACTGTCTGTATTCATTGTGTTAAATACTAGTAGAATGTACCTGCAGTTCATTCGTACCATCTTCATTTTAACATGATCTGATACAGTACAACCCTTAGTGCAGAATGCAATCTGTATTACCGACATGCGATCCCATAAACGTTGGGCAATTACATTTCGTTGTTACAGCAAGAACAAAGGGCGAGGAAATAAACATAGGGAGATACAGGCTTTTCGAGGTAAATGTTAGAAGTTATTAGGGTATACAAAGAGGTTATATGTTTTCCCTTCACAATACACTTCAAGATTATAAGACAATGCCTTTGTTCTAATTTAATTTAGAGCTTAAACGACTGAATAAAAGTACTTCGCTTGATATAATTTAAGACATTTATTGTCCCCAACGTCAAAGATATATGTCCAGCTCATCGAATACACGAGCTACTGTTTGTATAATATCTTATATTACCGAGTTAATCTCTTTTTCGTTCAGATATTTTGCTGAGAACTTTGGTTTAATGTAGGTTCCTCCCTTGAAATAACGGATTAAGTTTCACAACCACGTGCAGCGGGGCATGTAGCATGCATGGCAGAGTTGAGGGAAGCGCACATCAGTCATCGCAAAAACTGCTTGGAAGCCCTAGATAAAAGAGTGATACTAAAATGGATCTTAAGAACAAGGTGTGAAGACGTGTAGTGGGTCCTTGTCGAACACAACGGGACCCAGTGGCAAACTGTCGTCAACATGGTAATGAACATTTTTTCCATACAAGGTTGGCAATTTCTTTGACTGGGAGATGTAACGATTTATTAGCCTCAAGGGGCGCGTTGCTGCATGGAGTTAATTAAACATCGTCGATTTGTTGCAGACGCCATGAAGGCACACAAAAGTCGTGGAGACAAACGTTTACGTATGCGTTTCAGATCTCGGCACTAGATGGATATGAATGGTGATTTGCACTCTCCGACTGTTTTAACCCATCTAAAGTAGGGTGACAAGATTACACAGTCGGTGTAAACGTGGTGGCAAAGAAAAGAAGCAATGCCCCTGGCGGGAATTGAAGCCCCTTCGTCCAACCCGTAGCCAGCAACTCTATTCGCTAAACTTGAAACTTCACAGTCTTAATTAATTTTATTCTGATTAGGAAATGTAATTTGTCTGAGGGTAAGTGCGGAGATTATGTGTTCCCGCAGAACTTTTCTATTCGATTTTGTAACTTGATTTACTGCAATAACTTCCCACTAATAACTTTAATTAAAGAGCTCACAAAACCAATTTTTACAATTTTCAGGTCGAGATTTAGTTTCTACGCATTACCGTTCCTATTTTGTTATGTGACGAGTGTCAGTGTGTCAGGAGTTGGAGATTACATATAGTCTGCAAGTTAGTAAGCTGCGTGATTAACTGTTAGTGCAATATGAAATGAGTAACTAAATGAAAAGTCAATTGGAATGATAGAACTTATCTTGTAGCATAGCACTGCTAGATGTTCCCAACCTCACAGACTGGACAAAGTTGAATGTTAACAATCCTGTGATTGATTTCTCACAATACTTAACGACTATGTTATGCAAAGACGGTAATAAATGGTGGGTAGTTACGGGTTTCAATTAAAACAGTCGTGGCCTATCTAACAGTGCTACCCGGTATTTGACTGGAGAAACTGAGAAGAACTACGAAAACCTTCTATCAGTATAAAGTACAAACCGGCCTGATGAAAGAGGCAGCAAGCACCTCTGAAGCATTGGTAAACTTCTACGACGCAATATACCAGAAGATAGCCATCTTCATTTTCTAACATTTGGTAGAACACCAAGGACTTAAAATTTACGTCTTTTCACGAAGAACTCGGTTAAGAATAAATATTAGAATTTGCTGTGTTCTATTTTCCCTCCGATTCACGTTTTATAACAGGGGCTGGAAAATATTTTTATTCGGTGCCCGACTGGGATATTTGAAGTTGCCACGGGCCTGTCATGGCTTAAGTCGAACTCAGTGCTTAAATAAGTTTAAATAGTAATAAATTATTCCTGCTAATTGACTATTATTTAGAGATGAAGAAAATACACATTACATTATTAATCGAAAACAACATATTCTTTGCACAATGTATTATAAATTAAAAATAGATAAAAGACCCTGATTTTAGTAATAATGGAACAAAACCGCGGGCAGGATTGAATTTTTTTTCCAAGGGTCGCGTCTGGCTGCAGGCTGGCTTTCTCACAATCTTGGTTTGCAAAATAAAATTTGGTTAGCCCACATTTTAGAGAACCCTGTGGCCGGTATTGAACTTCCTGGAACAAGATGTTGAAAACATTTTTTTTTTGCCATTTACCACGATATGTTGGGGTTTAGAATTAAAAGCATAATGTTTTGATCGGATCTTTGAAAGGACATTATTCCATTTTTTAAAGTCCAATCCATTACTGAAAAGTACTGGCTAAACGAAACAATTTTGTTCTTTAGCATTTAGCTATAGCATAACGCGTGACAAACACAACACTTGAGATGCGAATTTTAGGCCACGTACACGAACATCTGAAAATTCGCTACAAGATGCACGGAAAACAATTTTAAATTGCATTCAAAGAACTGAAATTGATACAACGGAATGAAATTAAAATACAAACTTTACAGAAATATATTATAACCATTCAAAAATTGCCCCTTTTATTAATTTTGTGCGTCTGATCTCACATAAAAGATGAGCGCTGTTTGCCCTTCCCGTTTTCTGTCAAGCGTCCTTTGATAATTTGTTCGTTTGAAGTAAAGGATCCCACAACAGCAACGCATTGTAGCAGACTAATCAGGGTGCTACACTTTCAATTTAAGACCCAGTGGTAACTATATATAACACCTGATTTAACAATCAACAATTGTGCATCACGCCCACACTGTTTATTACGGGTTTCCTATAATACTCAGAGTAAAAAGCAATTATTTTTTTAAACAGCGTTAACAAACGATCTCTGTTTTCATGGGGAATGTAAAGAATTCGTAAATATCATTTAGACGAGCTTCAGGTTTAAAGGGTGTTCGTAGCCAAAGTAAAAAAAAAGAAAGTATTATAATTTACTATGTCTTTGAGAGTCATCCCTGTTTCCACAAGATGATCGTAATTATTCATACTTAAAAAGAAACCCCTCTTTCATAAAACAATGCGGGAAAGCTAGATTTCGGAAGCTTCTAGGCTCGAATCTGTTTATATTAAAAACATTTTAAAACAGCCATCCAATCTACAATTAAAAACAAACTGTAAACTATTAGCAAAACAGCCGTCTTTGTGCCGCATTTGTCGAGATCTCGCTGTAGGCATCCTGAAGGTAGGCACGACTGTACGCACGTCCACATACCACTCCACTCTTACCACAATAAAAATATAATAACTGCTTGTGACTAAAACACAATTTGAAAACATTCCCTTTTCTGCGGGTTTTACGAGGTTGCCTTGTGTGTGACTACATTATGCAGTATCCGCTTTTATTTTCTCACGATTTATGCCTGAGACATTCAATCGGACTCTTTGAATGAGGGGTCTGTCTAAGCGCCTCTTCAAGCACAAGACACTACACATGGACACAGATCATATCTCGAGTTTAAATTCTAACCTGTGTTTCCAGTTTTTGTCAGAGAGGCACAACATTTAATTTGTGAGAAATTTTAGCCAGCAGCAGCAAGTGTGAAAAGTGCAGGGCTCACTTGACAGAGTAATGGAGACTGACTTCTGTACTACTAAACTATCCTCACACATTCTCCCTACCTAATCGTGCATCACAAGCTGCAACGTTTTTAAGCGAGACGTTAGCAGATCAGTAAGCAACTTAATAAAATGGGAAACTGACATTACCTGAATTTTATGGAGAAATCAGGAATCAAGCACACGATACGCCCGTTCATCCAGTCTTCAGCCCACTGATCAGACATGATTATGGTAATTAACCTTAAAACAAACGACTGGGTCGCGCGCCAAATCGAGAAGATATTGGTAAGCCTGATGGCCCTACACACGTGTGCGTGAGTGTGTGTGTGTGTGTGTGTGTGTGAGAGAGAGAGATAGAAGGAGCTCAGCCGCCATCGCGCAGGTGGTTGTGCGCAAGTGTAGAGAGGGGCCCGGGATGGTAGGCACGGGGTCGGTCGCTCGCACCAATGCCGCTAGCTAAAAGCCGAGCGCTTGGTAGGTAGCGATCTCGGCTTCATTCCACCTTCCTTTAGTCGATGTTTGAGAGTCGCGGCGGTAGGATTCATTGTGTCTGTATATGCTTACCTGAGGTCACACCATATGTTCATGTGATAAATGGAAGCATTTCAAAGTGTTTATTACTGAGAACGTATCGTGTAAATTTTCTATCGAAAACACCATCTTTATTAGTGATTTTGAAAAGTACAATCTAACCTCTGTCGTGAGGTGTTTGTCTGTGAAAGTATCTGAAGAAATTATTTTGTTTTGTGAACATCGAAAGAGGAGAATGAAATATTCTTTTTACAAATGAAGAACGGACACCGGTATTGTCAGACAAGTCGGTCCTCCTCTTATTCTGCGAATCCGGTTACAACAAAATGGCGGTGGCCTGTGGAGGAGTTTGGGATGCCCCAGCGCCAAGAAAGCAAGATTCCAGCCTACAGATGCAGCTCATTCTGCTGACGTGATATCCCAATTGAAAAATACAATCTCACCTGCACAAAGGAAACATTCCTTCTCTGACACCGCCTCCAGATGCAAAATATTTAATATTTTTATCTTTGTGTGGTTGTTTTGCACTGTTGCAAACTTTCTGGTGGAGGTACAAGTTACTTTCATTGTTGGAAGTGCGATACTAGCGACAATTTCGCCCACCTGTGATATATATGGGAATTAACATTTAAGTATCTTTTTTAAGATCTATTTCGGACATCCATAGCGTGATATGAGCTGTGTGAGTGTGTGTACTAGGATTGTGGTGTGTTTAAGTACAGTCTGACGAGTTATTGATAATTGTATTTTTGATACAGACTGTAACGGAAATAACAAATTACATACAGGATATGAAAACGATGTTCAGGGTGATTGTTATCGCAGCGGTCCAGACTTGGTTTGTGTAGAAATTTCTGCAGATTTGGAAGTCGCTTGTACAGGTAAGGCCAACTTCATGTTTTATTACAAGTAATCTGAAAACTTTCTTGTTTGGCATGTTCAGAATTGAAATTTGTAGATGCAGGTTAAGTGTGAAGAAGGGCCCCCGACACCCGAAACTCCAGGTATTTCAGAATGCGCCCACGATTTAGTCTGGGTTATTGTTTCTGGCCGGGATAGCTCAGTCAGTATAGTGACTAGCTACGGGCTGGACGACCGGGGTTCGATCCCCGATGGGGGCAGGATTTTTCCTCTAGCCTCTGCGTCCAGACCGGCTCTGGGGCCCACCCAGCCTCCTCTACAATGGGTACCGGGGTCCTTTCCCGGGGGTAAAGCCGGCCGGGGCGTGATGCTGACCACTCACCCCCATCTAGTGCCGAGGTCAAGGAAGAGAGGAGCTATACCTCCTCTCACCCCAAACGCCTACATGGCGTATAGTGGGACAAACTTTACTTTACTTACTTTGCCGTAGATATTCCAAGGTTGATAACCTGGGTGTGGTGTAACATTATTTCCATTATTTATGGCTACGGTGCGTCAGAAATAATTTTGAACCTTTTCTTCGTTCAGAACATATTTGGCGGGTTGACCGGATACGGTCTCGGTTGCACATTTTAAATATTTTAATTTAATTAAAGTACTGGTAGTTTTTTCATATAATGTTTGTGATGTGTTTCCAAAACTTATAGGATTTTAACATCAAACCGTCTGGAAGAATTCGTTTCTTAATAGTTCAATCTTCAATTTGAAGACAGACCGTTACAAGACGCAGGGACTGTAATTTTACGTGTTGTTTGGTAATAATATGTAACGTGGTCTGTCAGCCGAGGGAGGTACACAGATTGATGGTGTTTGAGAATATGGTGCTGATGAGAATGTTTGGCCATCAGAGGGTGGAAGCAGCAGGCTGGAGAATATCGGAAAAAGGCGCTCCATAATTTTTGCTCTTTCGCAAATGTTAGGGTGGTCTTACAAGGAGGATAAGATAAGTGCATGGGAGGGATTAGAAATGTTTGTGGAAAATCTCTAGGAAAGAACGAAGCGTCAGCTGGTTCTTTCGAAACGGACCGCGAGGAAATTGTGTGAAGGTCTGGACTTACTTCACCTAGCTCAGGATACTTGCCACAGGTGCGCTTTTGTGAATACGCTAATGAAAGTTTGGGTTGAATAGAAGTCGGGGAATTACTTGACAAGTTTAGCCACTTTTAGCTTCTCAAAGAGGGCTTAGGTGGAGTTCGTTATTTACGTATGCGTTTACACTTTCATCACGGACCTGTATATATGAAGAAGAGTGTACGCAAATGTGCCTGAGGTTTCCTCGACTATTCTGTTTCTACATGGATGTGCAGTGTTGTTTTAGGCATAATGGCGAAGTATTTATTTTTTTGGATTTACTATTTTCGAATCACTTGATCGGCTGTTTCTCGGGAGGTTCAGTACTTCTTTCCTCGGTCTCACGCTGCGAAATTAGGCCGCAGTCTCTTTTCTCAGACCTTTAATATTTTCACCATTTAATTTTGCGTCGAGTTCTGAAAAGTTGTTTATTTAAGCTGTACAAAAATATAAATACACTTTTGTGGTGAACATAAATGTGTTCATCAATAAACTTTATTTGAACAGTTCAAAAGATATGTTATCAGATTTTGCTTGATATTTGCGATTCTACATATATAGATGTCCAGATAGTGTCTATACATATCGATCATTTTTCTTCATACTTTTAATTATGACAATTGAAGTTTACATTTTTTCCCCAAAACAAGTTATTGTACAAGAAGTTGACCTCATTAAAGTTGATTCTTTCATTAAAACCAGTCTGTATGGTGATTATTTAACGAAGTAATTCAATAATTGCAGTGCGATAATTGTGCTGTTGTTCCTGCGACAGTAATTTGTATCTGCAGTAAATAAATACATATTAATCTAAATGCTGTGTGAAAAATCTAGCAATGAAGAATTTGCTCGGAAAGACGTGTGTCACACTTTTCCACCTTGTTAATTTACCAATAATTTTGTCACTAAACACTTTTTCATTATTTAAGCGGAGTTGAACCTGCAAACCCTTCTTTGAATACGGGAGTCGCCATTTTTATCTTTGAACCCAAGAAACGGAAGTACTGACACGTAACTTCAAAACAACTGAAAGACGATGTTCGTAACAAAGGATTTCATTAAATCTAACGTATCTGGTGTATTCAAATGATGTAGTGTTTAACTGAAAGAAACTTTCTCCCGAACAGTTTTTGCCTCGAAACCTAAAAGTAATTTGTTCTTGCTCTGTTATTTCGTCAGTTTCTTTTTTTCAATTCTTACCTGCAAAACAATGAACCGAGATAAAATTCTAGTTTATACCCTTATATACAATACATATTGGGACCCATTTCCTCCGGTAAAGCAGCCGGACTGTAAAACTGATCACTTATCTCTATCTTATATTGAATTTAAGAATTCGTGGAGCTTTATTTTCATTGCCCCGTGCATTATCAAGCTGTCGTTCAGCACAGGGTCACTTTTAGTGGCGAAGGGAGATGACATTGCAGTACATTTTAATGTATTTATTATTTGTCATATTCTCAGAACTGAAGCCTGAAAAATTGAAGTCCTGAATTGTACATGCAGCACGCAAGGACAGCTCCCCATATTTCTTGCTGAGTGCAATTAACGTTATTTGTAGGCATTTTTGTACAGTGTATTATAACTAAAATGGGCCTTGAGAAAAAGATGTTATCTCTTGTAATCTAAACAATTCCTCGCGGTGCGAAAGGAAACAAGTGTAATAATGTAACTGGTTATAATGCTTGTAATTAAACGTTAGGGGATTGTAAATTTTTACACACGTTTCTCTGCACACCATATTTATACAGCTTTCATATATTATTACGCAGCAAATATTATTTTTTAACCTGTTATAAATTGCTGTTGGTACAGTTCTCGTGAGGCACTTTGCTCTCGGAGCAGTGTACAAACGCTCGTTGTTTGTTGACATTGTTACAGGTTTTGAAAACCACATCCAGGAACAAGAGAAACAGTTTTGAATATTATTATGAAAGTTGTGTTTGGAGATTACGTTTAAAAAAACGTGGTTGGTAAGTAATTGTAGTCCGCCTGTGTAGCCCACAGTTCATATCGGAAGGATTTTGGCGCTTTGAAACAGTTTACAGTACACGTGTTGGGAGCGTACCATATAACAATTTAAGTTGTGTGATAATTTGCCATGAACATGTAGGCAACAAACATGCACTGTACACCCTATTTAATTAATTTATTCATTAATTCTTAGGATATAAGTCATTCTTTAAAGAGAGCTCTGCCGGCTTTGTGTTGTACGTCAAGACCACGTTCGACATACTATGGGTCTGAAGTTACAGTTTATGTTGTTATGAGCGTACAGTCGATACCGTTGTTCTAATCTTCAGCAGCAGGTGGTATAAGCAATTAGATAACCTTGCGACGCATAATAAAAACACTTCTTCCGTTTCGACCCTAAGTCATTGGAATGTTGCGATGTTTGTGCCCCAAGTTCTGGGCCGTGCCGCGACTCATGCGCGGATAGTAGCCGGTTTCACACCACTGAGGTCCAGGTTCGCGCTCAGTCATTCCCTCTGGGATTTGTGTTTGAGTAGTTTCACCCAGAGTCCTTCGGTTTCCTCCTGTCAGGATCATCCCACCGCTATTCCATATTCTCTCTTATCAGCTCGTTAGAGTCATCGTCACACCCCATGGCAAAAATAACGGTAACCAACGTCGCTAATCCAAAAGCCCGCCGTTGGACATGACCTTGAACCATTCCAGTGCACATTCCATTCTTGCAACCTTCTCTAAGACTCATGTTAATGTTATCCCTCTTGGTCTTTGCGAATGGGCCATTTCACAGGAACTTTGCCTATCAAAATTGCATGTCCCTTGTTTTTCCGAACGTAGTTAAACTGAATGTCCAATCCATCGTAGCCTCCAAGATTTCCGTATTCATGTGGTGTTCGTTGAGATATTGTAATACGACTGTGCTCTCTTCTTTGAATCCTTTAAGTAATTCTAAGTGACCCGATTAACCCACTAAGTTACTCGTTATGTAATGTAATGTACAAGTTTTGACGGAGAGGATTGTGGATGACTTCTAATCATTTAGAAATCTGTTTTCTTTACTACCGTTGGTCCTGAATACAGTGAGAGTACCAAGGGAACAAAATGCCATTAACAGTGTCTTCCGGTCGTGTTCACAAGAATTTCTTGCAATTTTTTGTATCGAGCCCACTGGCATTTTCCCTGTTGTGGTTTGCCCTAGAGTTGGAAGCCGTGTCTTGAAGGAATATTTCGTGTTAGCACGTACGTACTTGGAAATACATTCTTGTATTCTTTTTTAAAGTAAGTTTAATTTCCTGAGGTAGTAACAAGATTATTGAAATAATGATTAAAAGCCTAAAACAACTGTACCAATGGACAAGATACAAAATACTAATAAGTATTGAATAAAAATTTTCTTGGATATTATCCATCGTCTAGTAAAATATAAAACGTAAAACGACGTTTCGGAGATGGGGCTCTATCTCCGTCTTCAGGTTCCTACTCAGTTGGGCCCACTAGATAGAGCTAATCCCTATCTCCGGACAAAGTAAAAAAGTGAAAGTCCCGGAATAAAAAGACATCACCACACCATCCATCCGTGGGACGTAAAAGAATAAATAGTAGAAATAAAATTCGTTAAACACGATAAACCCAAACAAACCATCTCCGAAACGTCGTTTTACGTTTTATATTTTACTAGACGATGGATAATATCCAAGAAAATTTTTATTTAAATGACTCTTCACCATCGTCAAGAAGTTTTAGATTTGATACTAATAAGTATTGGTTTGTGCCGAAGCACTTTATTGAAATTATAGTAATATAATGTTGGATTCAGAAATTCTGTGTTGTGGCCACCGCGTGTTGTAATGGCAATAAAAATCTCGAGTGACAAGTTATAAGGTGGTGTAAAGTTTTCGTTTCTCCTGGCATTTATTTA